ATGAGCCCCATGGGCCTACAGTAGCTTATAGCAGTAACACCAGGCACCATCAGGCTCAACTAAGGATGCTGCATATATTATCTCCACACGACCAAGGAGTCCATTAAAAAAGGCAGTCAAGTCTTATTGACAGCTTTTCTGTATCTAATATCTGAAAGTATATCAATCTTTTATTTCGGAATGTATAAAACCACAACCAACAATATCTGAGGATGTTCAACAGAGTCCAACAATGTTTTAACATTTGCTATGTCAGTCTATCCACCAGTCATTTACACCTGAAATCTGCCACATCACCTCTGGAAATTGGGCTTTGCCCTTCTGCATGCAACTGAAATGAAATTATGTTTTCATCAATGTTCAATAGTCCTTAGTCATTAGACCAGACCTTAGTACTGAAAGACTAGACCTAAGTATTGAAAGGCAAGACTTTAGTATTGAATGACTAGACCTTAGTATGAAAAGACTAGACCTCAGTATTGAAAAGATTAAAGGTCTGAAAGGTCTGACCTTAGTTTGGACAGACTAGACCTTAGTATGAAAAGACTAGACCTTAGTATTGAAAGATTAGACCTTAGTATGGACAGACTAGACCTTAGTATCAAAAGACTAGGCCTTAATATCAAACGGCTAGACCTTAGTATCAACAGACAAGACCTTAGTATCAACAGACAAGACCTTAATAACAAAAGATTAGACTTAGTATCAAAAGACTAGGCCTTAGTATCAAAACACTAGACCTTAGTATAAAAAAATTGGACCTTAGTATTACTGACCTTGGTATCAAAAGATTAGACCTTAGACTAGTCCTGAGTAAGAATATGATCCAGCTTTCTCTGGAATTGCTATATTTTGGGATAAAAGTTATCACATGTCTACTTCTTTTTGATGCACATTTAAAAGAATATGGTTTGTGTTTTCATGAACAAATATAAAAATAATGCTATTTTTACATAGAACATTAATGTCATCCATTGTATTTTGAGGGTGAGAAAATAGATACACTCTGTTATCTTTGGACATAAAAAATTTGTCACACTTTAATATTAACGTAAACTAGCTCCATGTGGCCCTGCCTTGTAAGGTGCAGCAAGCTATTCACAGTGCGGAGTTGTTTCCCCAAGGTATACTAGGATCCTGTGATCACTGGTTCCAATCCCAGAATGCACTGGTTATCATTCATGGTTATTCACCATACTCATGCTTGTGGGTTTCATCAAAGTGCTTCACTTCCAAGACCTGCGTCATGTGAACAACTGATTCCCACATGATGCTGACACACCCACACAGAACAGATATACTGGTTGCGGTATCAACTCTCTCATACACTCCCCAGAAAATTAATATTCCTCTCTTTGCTTTGGTGCTCACAGTGAGGCAAGACCAATTTAGTTTCATGTTTAATGGATGATTGTACCTCAGTTTTTGCAAAAGGACAAACATCTGCATTTTTAACAATGCTGTGAGGAACAGAATAACATTTTGTTTGTACATATTTAAAAATGTTATTTTAAAAGGATGACCTCATATCAACAAAGTGGTGCTGTGTGGTCTTGTGCATAAAGCTCAGATCACAAATCAGTTGAAGTTAAGCAACGTTGTTTGGCAGCTTGACTCCTGAGAGTTTCTAGGACTTCAGTTCTGCCCCACAATGAAGCACATGTGATGCATGTAGTCTCACCTTAGGCAAGTGAGTTTGTTCAAAATTGCCCGTTCACCCAGCAGAAAATGGGTACCCGGTGGGATAAGTCATGTGACAACAGGCAGCTTGGGTTAGTCGGGGTCTAAATAATGTATTAGCGCTTTGAGCATGCACAAGCGTGTGGAAACAGGTGCTTTATAAATTGCAATTATTATTATTATGTTATATTTGCTCATTCTTTCTCCAGCTGTTTGGTATATAAATAAACAAAAAATCAAGACAAAACAAAACAAAAACTCCAAACAATGTATTTAAATAGCCTCTCTACTAAACAATATCAGCTCAAATGCTCCTTCCAGTATAAGAATATTCCTTATTTTCAAAGAATTGCTGATAATACCATGGACACCAACACTGATGAGTCCGACTTTTAGATAAAGCGCCAACACTGTGCATATGTAGGAGTATCCGACACCAATTGTCTGACAGAGGAGCCCAATCACCCTCCAACAGTGATAGTTTATTTATATTTATAACAGTCTCCTATGACAATGAATAGAAAGGGTGTCGGGACAAATCTCTAACGTCAACAAACCCAGTCTCTTCCTATACCCCTGTGTAGATGATACCCACTTAATGGAAGAGCAGAGTGATGTCACTAGTGGAAGAATGCATGGTAATCCTTGAACAAGCTCACGGCATATAAGCTTGCGATCTCACTGTGTGAACAACACACCTACGATCAAGTGATGGCCTCAGCCAATTTGCATTGGAAATAGGGATTGGGTGTGGTCAGGTTCACGTCTGATAGCATGACTATTTGATTTTTTCCCAGTTAATGATAAGTGGATACAGTGGACTGTTTAACCTGCCAGGTGAGATATCCTCAACCAATGAATCATTAACATACTCTTATGATATTTACCAAGGTATTTACCCAGATATTTACCCATTCTTTGCCATAGCTTCATTTCAGAAAGTGAAAAGTGTCACCAGAGAATAGAGATTCCAATGGACATGAAAGGCAAAATAGCTGTAAAATTATATGAATGGATCTCTGAAAATCTGTGTTGACACCAGGTGTTCATAAAACGGGTTGGCATGTCCTGCCCTAATGGAAGCACCCACAATCAACATTCTTGTTGTGAACGCAAGTTTCACATACATCCAAATTAAAAATATGTCCTCATGCCTGGATAAGCAAGCATTTAAGTTCAGTTAGTTTTAAAATCATTCTTTTAGTTGAAAAACAGGGAAAAGGAACTTATGTTTTAGCTAATGTTGCAAGTTGTGTTGGAGGAAGAAAACAACGAGGCTGATGGGGTGCTCTTGATATCCATGTTTGTTTAAAACCCAGACTGAAGAAGAAGTCACAGCCTCAAGGTTATATTGAAAGACAGTACTGATTTCTTTAAAGTTTTAATAGAGAATAGGTATTCTTGAAATCTGTAATGAAGTTACACTAAGTAACTCAAAAGCACTTGTAACCAAATTTGAAAAAACATATATACTGTTAACATTCAATCCCCTTACTCTACCAACAACCATAGCTATTGTTTTGCACAAGAATTCCAACTTGAAGACAATGATGAAAACCCCCACTATTTTCTTTAAATACAAACAAGCAATTCATTGTGAGATATTACTTAAATGAAGTTTGTTTCACTGTTATGACTATGTTCAAAAGTATTTTGGAGAAAGGGTATTCCTAAAAACTTATCTTACATGAAAATACACAATGCCTCATATGTTTGTATGTTCAACTCCCACATGGAATTCTATAATCTAAAAATATAACCACTGATTTTAATGAATGTATGACCTGTAGAGAAACGCTATGAAAATAGAAATTGAATGTAATTGACAGATTTATTTTTGAAGTAAATATGACTTGTCAGGAAAAGCAAGCTGAGCATCAACATTAAATCACAAATCTTTAGTGAGGCTGGACCAATTATATCCTTGACCTCTCATTACAGAGTTCGTCCTTATAACATGCTGTGATTACACCAATAAAGATATGAGCTATTCCTAGCTCCAGTGTTATTTCAGTTCCCATTTGGTAGATTATATTTCTTCAGAAGAAAACATGCAAAGACTCTAAGAGGAAGTAGACAGGCTGTGATGGGATGCAAGGGTTGTTTTTTTAGCACATCTATCCAGTGCAGTCTGGCAGTATTGAAGTGCATCACATGTATAATAGGATCTGTTTTTTCACGTCCTGGAAATAGTGGAATCTAGATTTTGAAATGAGTCTGCCAAAGATATCCAACTGACCTGTTGGAATAATTTCCCTTCGATCTGACTTTAGACTGTTTCCATGATGCTAATTTTGTCAGAACATCTTAAAGTGTTCATTGTCCTGGTGCTAAAAATGGTCTCCTTTACAATCAAGCTGAATTGTTTGCCTGAACTTTATGTCTGGTAATGATATTTTGTTTATATATGTGTAATATCATAAACATGTGAAGTAATGAATGAACATTTATATCCAATGTAATATAACTAATTCTAAATACATGACATGAATATAATGTAAATGACCTATGGATTTTATGGGTTTTGTGTAAGACTTGTTAGTTATTATGAATATGCATGTGATTGACTGACATACATCTGTAATAATGGGGGGAAATTGTTGGTGTCTGGTAAATATGGGTGAATGAGCTCAGTGGACCGATTGACAATATCATCAGTAGGCTCAATAGAGGTCATTACACATTTATACATGGTAGTTTGTTAGTCAGGAGAAAAGGGGGTTAATGCCAGATCGGTTAATGCCGAAAGTTATTGCACATATGTGGCACCATAATGGTACATATGTGCCTCTGCTGGTTGTACTATAGACTTTAGTCTCTAAATATATGTATATATTGTTGATCGAAACAATTCATTCCTTTTTGATTGACAAGTAGACCTAATGAGATGGGAGATTCAGAACCAGAGGAAATCTAGACTTTCTTCATTTAGGGCTTTAGCACTGCAGAAAGGCCTGGTTGGAAGGGAGAATAATGTGGTTCAGGGACTGTGAAACAGTCTACTTGTACTGGTCAGGACATCTTCCCACTGAGAAACCTTGTCACACTGGTTCTTACATAGACTATGCTTAGTCTCTGAATATGTATAATTTTAACAGAAACAAATAATTCTTGTTAAATTGAAAAGGAGCCCCAGTGAGATGGGAGAACATACATATGCCCATTTGGGTATAATTCAAATTACCTGTCTAGATAATATTTTTTTTTATGCTTCCAGTGTCATCTTTACTTTTTATGATTGAAGTCCTAGTTGCTGTCTGATTAAGAGGAACCAGCTCCTAAAATTCTTATTGCATTATTTGTCTCACTTTTAGAGAGAGAATGACTAAAGTGATGTGGAGACCAGCCAGCAATAGGGCCAGAACCTGATTGGACAATGATGCCAGGGCCAGTCACTGATTGGTTCCAATCCTCTCCTGAGGTATGGGACTTGGACAAGGAATTTCCAGAAGTATCAAGGTATGTTTATATTTACAGTGCTGTTTAATGTGTGCAGTATGTACTGATATCTGATCTGACACTCCTGTCAAAAAATCATGTACTCCTGAAAGACACAAGCTAATTTGCACATCAGTGGGATTCACTGTTACGTATTTTCATCTAAATGAGTCAATTTACCTTTGTCACTGGCACACAATTGTGACAGGTAAATAAACAAATGAATGATAAAACTACTTATGATTGTGCCTTTCAAGGATGGTTTTGTTACTATGAGTATGACAAATGTACGTGATAATTGTGAGAGACTGCTATGTCCCCTCATTTAGGATCAAGGTGTCTCAAGCACATTTAATTACCTGTGAAAATACCCATGAAGATCCGGGTTAGAATTGCTCTTCAGCAACCCATGCTTATGAGGTGGGTAATGGGATCATGTTGTCAGGCTTACAGAATTGGTTGACAGATGTGTTCATATCCCAACTTTGTAGATCGCTGCTAATGCTGTTGATCACTGGATTGTCTGGTCCAGACTTGATTATCAACAGACCGCCGCCGCCATATAGCTGGAATATTGTTGAGAGAAGTGTAAAATAAGAAACAAACAAACAAAACCTCTTTTGCTAATTGATTATAGTTTTCATAAACAATCCCTTTCTCAATGTTGTTTTTTATAAGTGCTCAGGACCCGTGGAGGTCCGGGTTAGAATGAATCTTCAGTAACCAATGCTTGTCGTAAGAGGCGAATAACAGGATCGGGTGGTCAGGCACGCTGACTTGGTTGACACATGTCATCGGTCCAATTGCGCAGATCAATGCTCATGCTGTTGATCACTGGATTGTATGGTCAAGACTCGATTATTTACAGACCACCGCCATATGGCTGGAATATTGCTGAGTGCGGCGTAAAGCTAAACTCACTCACTCACGAAGTGCTCAGGGTGCTTATTATAGTTATTGTGGTACATGTTGGATTACTGTTCTCCAGGAAGTGATGGAAAATGGGGGGAGGACATTTCATCAGCCTGACGAAGATCTACCACACTGGGGAGGGCTTATATTGAATTCAGATTTTCTGATAAGGAATTATGACCTGATATGTATCATATTTAGTGTTTGGGATATGACAGGAAGTGATAAATGGATCAGAGAGAAGCAATATTAATATATCGGGTCATATTTTTCAAAAGATACATCATATGATTATGTTTCATTTTCAATAAAAGGCAGCCTTATTGAAACAGAGTTTCTGTTTCTGTTATCTTTGGTATAATAAACTTTGATATCAAAATGTTCTAGAAATGTTTGGTTTTTCAATTATGTTCCAACTTCTTTTGAGTTACTTAGTGTGAGTTCATGTCACACTTATAAAATACCTGTTATCCATTAAAACTTTAAAGAAATCTGTAAAGTTCTTTCTATTTAACCTTGAAGAAGGGACTTCTTCTGTCTGGGTTTTAACAAATTGCCCTCTGTTGTCCAAAGTTATGCTCCTACATTTTCTACTGGATCAAATTTGTGTCAGTGAACTATACAAGTGTAAATGTCACATGTTTTGCATGTTGATAATATCCTCCAGCTTTCACATATAATAGACAATCATGCAGTACTTGGGAACTGTTGAAGTAAAGGATATCACAGTATTGTCAAAATTGGTTTTTGTTTGAAATTTGTAAATAACTATTTGATACTGATAGGCAGAGCAAGCTTGAGCAATCATGATTAATGACAGAATAAAACACTTTTCATGGGTGTCAAAACATTTATCAAACTGAATCAATCTCATGTGTATATTAAAGATACATGTTTGTCCTGTGTCGATGAAGAGGTACTTAACTTTTTAAAGTGTGTTTGTTGCAATTATTTAAATAGAGAACATAACAATTTCACAGAGTGATATGAGTTTGAATTGACTGCTGATGCAAAGATTTTATGAGGGGTTGAATCAAAGATGAAACTGATACTGGTTGAAATCAATTATTCATTATCTGCGAAGGACTGGTTGTGTCATTACATAATGAAAACATCATTTACTAAATGTTTTGCCGTTATTGTTTTGTTATGTTATGATTAGGTTTTCAAGTAAACAACTTACAGAAAATTTGAGTTATCTAAGGTGCTTTGTGGAGTTACTTCCCTTGGATGTACCAGAATTCACTAGTCATGTGTTTGAATCCTTAATTTAGTTCATTTCTGATTCTTGTCTGCCAGGTCCATATCCATACTAGCTTGTGTCAAACGTGATAAGCATCTAAGACCTGGATCACTTAAGAAATGGCTTCCTTCAAATGTGAAACTTAGATCCTATTCAAAGCTGTCATCGTATTCAAATTGCATAGATGCTGTTGATCACTGGATTGTCTGGTCCAGACTTGATTATTTACCGACCATACAGCTGGAATATTGCTGTGTGGGGCTTTAAACAACGAACAAACAAAAATAAAACAATTCAGAGCATCACACAATCCAACTCACTCACTCACTGCTAGGGCATATGACCAATCATTAAATATGATAGAAATTTCCCTCATACAAGGGTGGTACGTCTACATGAAACGAGTGTGACTTTCGAGGACTCTTCTGAAACATAATATCATATGAATTACTTGCATTTGTTCTCAGAAATGAATTATTGACACAAGACTTGGATGGCTTGCAGTATAATTTAGCTTCATCAGTTAATATTAACCCAGACTATTGTTTCTGTTCCCAGTAGACTGTCAAGAAGGGTCATCAGTGTGTCTGACATTTACACATAACTGCCAGTGTAATTAATCAAATCAAACCTCTATTCTGATCACAAACAGGTGCCCCTTGTGATTCATCCAATTGTCGTATTATGAAGACTATAGCTTGTAATCACCCCATACGTTATCCTACACTGTAATACATGATCTCCTATAATGACCCACGGGTATGGAGGTGTGTGGAAGGGGGATGAGTGGGAGGGAGTTTAGTTTTATGCCACTTTTAGCAATATTCTAGCAATATCATGGTGGTGGACACCAGAAAAGGGTTTCACACATTGTACCCACGTCTTTGGCGTGACGAGTAAACACTTTAACCACAATGCTACCCCACCGGCCCATGCATGGGATGAAGGGGTTAGGCGAGTAAAAGCTACTTCATCTCGATAAAAACCAAAAACAACAACAACAATTTAAATTGAATGGGAGCCCCAGTGAGTTGGGAGGAAATCTAGACTTGCTTCATTGAGGGCTTTAGCATTGCAGAATGGGCGGTCCAAAGGAAGAAAATTTACTTCAGGGGCTGTGACAGACTAACACTTAGTTCCTGAATATATATCATTTTGAAAGTAACAAATAAACCCATTTAACTGAAAAGGAGCCCCAGTGAGTTGGGAGATAACCTGAGGAATCTAGACTTGCTTCATTTAGAGCATAAGCATTGCAGGGAGTGGTAGGTAGTAGGGAAAATAATGTGATTCAGGGAGTGCGAGACAGACTAGAACTGTGAGACAGACTAGAGTTCTTTGCAGGGTTGTCTCCATTAGACACATGAGAAAGCAAATATTCTGGGTTCGAATCCTGGTTTTCTCTGATTTTGTTTCCAGGTTTGACATCACCATTTCCGTACTTATGACCTTTACTGAAGTGGTGGATATTTACAAATTGCATCACTTCAGGCGTTCCTTCATCAACCTCATGTGCTGAAACTCACTTGGTTAAAAACTTCTCCATAAATTTTGCTATTTTGTTAATTTTAAAATGTTAAAGATTCATTGAAATCTTTTTGAAAATGTGAATTCAACAGTGTCAGTCAAATAAATGAAAACTGCGAAAATAATGACTTAATAGCCATTTTGAAGTTAAGGAAAAACAAATGTTTTATTAAATTTGAAAATTTAACCTATGTTAATCTTAGCATAATTTCATTTTCCCCAGCTAGTTTAGCATGTTACTAGCTATTATATATGCAGCTTTCCTCTGGTCTGCGTAGGGTCTAGATGGTCAATCTCAGTAATGTAATCTGTGTAAGTGGCATTGTCACTGCAACAAACAGTAGTGGCACTGGGTGGCGCCCAACAGAGGGAGAAAGTTAACACCACATTTACCTTTATTTACCTGTGTGTTTACAGCTGATAGTTATCTAGTGAAGCATTCATGTCATTAACCTATAATACAAGCACAGATAAAACAGATAAGACATTTTGGGGGCTTTCAAACTGAAATGTTAAGTATAGGGTGAGAAAACAGCTGTGATAAAAGGAATAAGTATTAATTTGACATCACTTAAACAAATATAGAAATCTCAAAATGTTTTTGTTGTGTAGTAAGTTATTGACAGGAGATGGTATGTAGTCTCCTTAGGACGTTAAAGACGCTTACACAGGGGTGGAAATAACTTTAAAATTGATAGTGTACTCCGGTACAGTGGCACAAGTAAAGTCACTTGCCCTGATAATTTTTCCACTATACCGACCATTTTCTTGCTGATTTTTTAAATAAACAACATAATTAACATTGGAAAGTCAACTGGACACCGGTACAGTGTGATATACAAATTTGCTTGCCCGACAGACAAAAACACTGGACTCGGACGTTGGGCAATGGGTTATTTCCACCCCTGTTACATCCTTTATAGTTTCTATAATCTAATTCATGATATAAGCTTATTTGTGTGAATGACAATATGGTTTTACACATCGCTCTGTTTTCTTGTTCATGCAGAGTTTTTTTTCAATTTGCACAATTATATTGTTGATGTTTGTTTTTATTAGTATTTATTCCAGAAATTGTACAAATTGTACGCACATGAAATTCAGTCATGAACTGTGGCTGAGTACATGTCATCCTTTTACAGATATCATTCTATCCCATTACATTTTGTACATAAAGCCTACAACATGATTGTAAGTGATTGGTTAATATATTATTCAACACATGGACAATAACTAGCAGACTTATGAAAGTATTTTATCAGGGAGTGTTGTGTTGCCTTCTAGAACTGTTCAAATAATACAACCACTGGCATTGACGTAACACTCTTGTGGTGTAACAGGCCAAACTTCCCCCTGGCCAAACCTTTCCCGGGGAAGTAGCCTAGCTATGCCAGAAACTCCCCCTTTTGATAAAAAGAAGGGTGGGGAAGAAGTAGCCAAGCTAGAGCAAAATCTCCTCTTTTGACATAAGAACAAGGGTGGGGAAGAAGTAGCCAAGCTAGGGCAGAAACTCACCCTTTTGATATAAGACTATTAAGAGTAAGGGTGGGGAAGAAGTAGCCTAGCAAGGGCAGACACTCCCCTTTTTCATATAAGAACAAGGGTGGGGAAGAAGTAACCTAGCTAGGCCAGAATCACCCCCCTTTTGATATAAGAACAAGGGTGGGGAAGTAGCCAAGCTTGGCCAGAATCTCTCCCTTTTGATATAAGAGCAAGGTTGGGGAAGTAGCCAAGCTTGGCCAGAATCTCTCCCTTTTGATATAAGAACAAGGGTGGGGAAGTAGCCAAGCTAGGCCAGAATCTCTCCCTTTTGATATAAGAGCAAGGGTGGGGAAGTAGCCAAGCTAGGCCAGAATCTTTCCCTTTTGATATAAGAGCAAGGGTGGGGAAGAAGTAACCTAGCTAGGCCAGAATCACCCCCTTTGATATAAGAGCAGCAAGGGTGGGGAAGAAGTAACCTAGCTAGGCCAGAATCACCCCCCTTTTGATATAAGAGCAAGGGTGGGGAAGAAGTAACCTAGCTAGGCCAGAATCACCCCCCTTTTGATATAAGAGCAAGGGTGGGGAAGAAGTAACCTAGCTAGGCCAGAATCACCCCCCTTTTGATATAAGAGCAAGGGTGGGGAAGAAGTAACCTAGCTAGGCCAGAATCACCCCCCTTTTGATATAAGAGCAAGGGTGGGGAAGTAGCCAAGCTTGGCCAAAATCTTTCCCTTTTGATATAAGAGCAAGGGTGGGGAAGAAGTAACCTAGCTAGGCCAGAATCACCCCCCTTTTGATATAAGAGCAAGGGTGGGGAAGAAGTAGCCTAGCTAGGCCAGAATCTCTCCCTTTTGATATAAGAGCAAGGGTGGGAAAAAAGTAGCCAAGCTAGGCCAGAATCTCTCCCTTTTGATATAAGAGCAAGGGTGGGGAAGTAGCCAAGCTTGGCCAGAATCTCTCCCTTTTGATATGAGAGCAAGGGTGAGGAAGTAGCCAAGCTAGGCCAGAATCAACCCCCTTTTGATATAAGAGCAAGGGTGGGGAAGTAGCCAAGCTAGGCCAGAATCTCTCCCTTTTGATATAAGAGCAAGGTTGGGAAAAAAGTAGCCAAGCTAGGCCAGAACCTCCCCTCTTTTGATATAAGAACAAGGGTGGGGAAGAAGTAGCCTAGAGCCACTTCATAGAAAACAGAACAAAATGTCATAGTTTAAACAGGAGGAAACTTTGGCCTAGGGGGAAAACTTTAGCCTAGCCCAAACTCTCCCAGGGGTTAGACTATCCTAGGACAAAACTTCCCCGTGGAAAGTTTGGCCTAGGCCAGATTCTCCCCTGGGAAAGTTTAGACCGGGGAAGAAATGGCCTGTTACACCGTGTTCGCTTCCCCATATGGGTACAATGTGTGAAGCCCATTTCTGGTGTCCCCTGCCATGATATTGCTGGAATATTGATGAAAGTGGCATTAAACCTTATTTGCTTACTTGTCTCAATGTAATTTTTGCATTCAGAAAAAGACTGTTGTTCTTATAGAATGTGTTTGAAATTGTAGGGTTGACTAATTTATATATGAATCAAATCTGGTACCATTTAGTTCACTTCATTAGATTCTCAACTCACAAGATGCTATTTGACAAATGAAACAGCATCAATATTGGCACCTGCTTAAGCACTGAGCATTTTTGTCTGAAAATGTTACCAATGTTGAAGAGGAAAAAAGAAGTCATCTTGAGATAAATTTGAATGGATTGTATTCAAGATTGGGAGATCTTTCTGACTTTATCCCAATCTCTCGACATTTCAACCAAATGTTGTTTGATTGATTTATTGTTTAACACCACACTCAGCAATATTCCAGCTATATGGCGGAGTCTGTAAATAATCGAGTCTGGACCAGACAATCCATTGATCAACATCATGAACATCGTTCCCCACAACTGGAATACAATGACATGTGTCAACCAAGTCAGCGAGCCTGACCACCTAATCCCGTTAGTTGCCCCATACGGCAAGCATGGGTTACTGAAGAATTCTAACACAGATGAGACTTCACGGGTGTTCAACCATAGGAACCAAACAAGTAATGAGCTAGGTCTGATCATATACAGACTTTCTAAAGTGTCTGTATTAATGTCTACTACAGCAAACAGTAAGCAGTCAAACCAGCTCACATTATTGACTCACAAATGTAAGCTGTGGTAATGAATTCAAAGTATCATCATTGTCAGTGACACAAGTAAATGATAGTGCAGGAAGCAGTGTAAAATCTCCAATTCATGTGTCTCAGTTTTGATGTTACAATTACTCGAAGTGACGGTATATAGGAATTATGTGTAATAATCCTTAGATTAACCAGACAGCGTTTCTTAGAGATGAATTTGTGAGTAATATAAGCCAGGAATCATATATATGTCACATTCAATCCAAGCATATCTGATGTTGGACAGAGATGCATGTATTTATTCCTATTTAGTCTGGTCCCTGTCAGGAGGTGGTGCCATATCGTGAAGACATCTTGTCAGTTGCATCTATTGTTTTGCAGGAAGGAGGACCAAGAGGAACCGGAGTTGTACTGCTTTGAGGACTTCGTCCCCTCCCAGGTTCTGCTGAAGCCTTGCACTACAAGATGGCTGCAGGAAGTTGATGAGGATGAGGACGATGATGTCTTTCTCAGGTAGGCAGAGAATAACTTTTTATACCTTCTGCTGTATCATGGTTTTCATAGTTTTGAGGAACTGTGGGAATCAGGATTCTGTCTGACTGTCTGAAAAAGGAAAATCAGAAGAAACATTTTTACATTGTTTTTGTTGTGGAATTCAATTTCAGATTCCTGTGCCAGTGAATGGTTATTTCAAGAAACCATTGATTCGGTTTTCATGGACATTTGTTTTCTGCTGAATCAGCATCAGTTAGCAAGTATAGGGTAGGAAGAAGGACCAATCAGTGATGGTCTTGTGTGACATGGAGGCAGTGTTTCAGTCAGTAGTGCTGCTGAGGTAGTCACACTACTGAATTGTAATATTGATGAATTATAGCAAATTTTTAACCATTTAACAATCTAACAATAGTGTTCATTCTAGTTATTGCAAAGCCCATCATTTCAAAATGGGTGCACTTGCAAAGAAAATCAAGGAATCAAGTCAACAATTAAGATTACTTGCTCCAAGACATCACCATGTCATGTTGCTGCTTTCTTCTGTGACTTCGGAGCTTGATAAAGTTGAGTTTTATCCAAAATCTTTGTTTTCTCCATCTTTGCCTGTAGTTTGATTTTGAAAATAATCAAAATACCTCACTACTCCAGCCACCATGTTAATTTGTTCAATGTCTGACAAAGAGAGCTATTGTTGATCAGTCAGGTTACTTGAAGCCAGTAGTCACCTCCAGATCTATGTTCCAAATATTGCTGGAATGGGAATCATTTTATGTGTGACTCTTCTCTGCTGGCTTTGGGGGTGTTTTCAACTGATCTCATCCAAAGGAGAGTCATCCTTTTGTGTCGTCTTCAATAACATTTTCATATTTTACTCCTTCTCCATGATTACTTGACCTCAATCTAACATAAAGTAACAGATAGGTTTGTTTTCATTTAAAAATCATTATGAAATTCAGTCTGATTTTGTGAATGAGTGTCTATTAAATAATATTTGTATGAATCATTCCTGTAATACTTTTCTGATGAAACACAATGTGACATATTCACTTTGAAGTACTGAAAAGCAACATCACTTATCGAATAACATGGTTAGTTTCTTTGAGTGGCATTTTAGAAGTTGGGAAGTACAGGCATCCCTCGCCATAACGCAGGTCTTGGGGTCCATGGATGACCCCCCGCGTTATTAGACACCCGCGTTATAGTAACGATTACATAACGCGGAACAAAGGCCAAGTAAAATCGTATTTTCCATGGACTTAACAAAACTACTATTTCGTGTATTGTGCCCAGTCAAAACTATATCGTATTGTTGGAGGTGAAAAAACCCAAAACTTTGTAAATCAAAAATAGATGTGTGTACATGAAACTTGCAATCAAACATCAAAAGACATGATAATTCAATTGTTATTCCTGTCATGCTACCTGTTATTCAACTAAGCCGGAAAGGGAGACGGTGATTTCGTAGACAAAACCAGTTCGTAGACGCGGTGAATTCGTAACCCAGACCGGTTCGTAGACGGTGATTTCGTAGACGTGTATAAATAATTGAAAAATAGTATATATTAAGTCTGATTTTTACTTAGAATGTTTATAACGAAGTTGTTATGCTTTGTTTTCAGTGATACGAAACTAAGGGCAGCTAAAGACTCAAGAAAATGTGAATGAATATTTTCCCGTATGCTTTGTTTTCAGTGATACGAAACTAAGGGCAGCTGAGGACACAAGAAAAAACGAATATTTTCCCGTATCTTGTCTACCTTCCTGAGGTTTATATACCATAAGTGTGTGTACAGGTAAACTTTGTCGGCGGATTAGAGAAAATTAGTCTACTCATCATAATTGCCGACTGGTTTCATTGTTGTGGGAGAATTAACAGGTTTCACTGAGTTGTTGTGAATGTGGAAAGAGTTCCGCCTACCCCCCCTTCTAAAATATGATTAAAACGCAATGACAGTGGTAGGATTATAAAAAAATGCAACCAACATTCAATAACGTGAGGGCAAAATAGCAACTTAATACGATTAAGTAACACACCTGAAACACCCTCTGGGAATAGAACACTAGCATATTTTGTTATTTTATTATTTAAGGATATTTTCACCGCCGATCATACTTACCTGATATATTTTATTTATTTCACAAAATGCAAACACTTTTCGTCGATTTTCTTCATCATTGAGGGTGATCTTTTCCAATTTTAATAACGTCTACGAATTCACCGCTCAATCCGTCTACGAATCCACCGGATTTCCACGTCTACGAACCGGTTTTGGTTACGATTTCACCTACAGCCGCCGGAAATAGCAATCAGCTGGGCACACATCGATGTTTTGGTCCAATGTACCGGTGATTCAATTTAAAACGATCCGAAAATATAACATCCAAGAATTTCTGTTTCATAATCAGAATAATTTATATGTCAAGCAGTTATTCTAACAGAGATCTTATATATTGCTAACGTATAAGTATAATGCATGTTTTCTACGAACATATTTAACATAATAATAAGCATTGCTAAGCACTTTGGGTTACCTGGCTGGATACATTTTACGTAGGAGACAGTTTCACAAGTCACCGCTGACTTCCTGCGGTACGTGCCACTTTGATTGTAAAAACAAAATGTTAGCAATTAATTGTCAAATATGAGTTCAAAGAGTCAATAACGCGGGTCTTGGGGTCAATGGATGACAAGGCTGTAATCTGTTCGTGATTGCTGAGAAAAATGTAAAATTGGTGCTATCGCGGTAGGCGCGAAAAACGGACCCTCACGAATGTGGTAAGCTGGCGTTGTATGGAATGAGGTAATGCCATTTCACTCGCGGTTTCTCCGTTGTTATTGTAAACAGTTTTAATGAATGAAAATGGGATTGAATTTAATCAAATAAAATGTGTTTTCTGACATCATACATTCTCGGATGGCGGTGTGTTGCATCATAGCAAACGTAAGTACTCCGCTGATAATCGACATGTCTTCATGATAAAGTTATTACAATGTTTCGCTGTTCATCAATTTGTATTGAAAAAGACCCTGTATGTTTTAAGCATCTGAAAAACCATGGATATGTACGATAAACACTGTTAATTGCAATCCGCACTGAATTTCACTAGTTTACAATGTGATTAACTAGAGCTCAAGAGCGGATTTGTTGATGTGCTATTTTCGATGACGTGAATATGTGTGATCACTTGGCAACATTTTTTATGGGAGCCACGGATTACCCCGCGGTTTAACCGAATCCGCGATATCGCGAAGAGCGTTATTGCGAGGGATGACTGTACAATATAGAACAAACTTTATGGATAACAACTTATTTTTATTACAGTGACGGCGTTTGATACAGATTCTTGTACCGTTGTCATGCTTGACAACGGTACAAGAATCTGTATCGAAACGTCGCACTCACGAATAAAAAGAAGTTGTTATCCATAACGTTTGTTCTATATTGAACATGGTCAGTAACTGTTCCATGGCAACATTTATTTGACTAACCTTCCTCTTAATATTGTCTTTGTCTCAGACAGGCTTATAGACAGACAAAGTACATTCAGTGCAAATGATTTAAAGGGCACATTTTGTTTAATAGTATATAGTTTGTACTGGAACACTGTAAGAGTGGTGTTAAAGCAAACTCATGATAGTTTTCAAGAATATGTTTTCTTGATGTAAGTATGAGGTTGTGTTACATAGCATCAATGTTATTCTTATGTACCAGTGTCTCTTTAACAAACTTAGAGATATACAGAGAATGTCAGTGTAACGATCACAGAGATGTAAAACATGTTTCATTTCCAGAAGAGTTCAAACTTTTGAGATATGCATTATAGTTGTACTCCACCTTGTCCATATTGTTGTAAAATGACTGCATCTCAATGAAGAGATGACTACTTTCAAGAGTTGATGGATGTCAGAACATGAATATCCTTCTACACTGAAGAGTGTTTAAAGTGTTAGTGACGGTATGACTTTGAGGAATCATTTGTAGAGGACTGGCATGGGTTACTGAAGACCAGTTCTAACCCGGATCTTCACAGGTTGTTGTTAGGGATCACATACATCATATGACTTGAGAGAGTTGCTTTCACTTCACATTTAGCAATATTCCTGCTATATGATGGTGGGGGACACCAAAATGAGCTTCACACATTCTACCCATGTGGAGAATCGAACCCAGGTCTTTGGCGTGATGAGCAAATGCTTTAACCGCTAGGCCACCCCACCGCCCACATATGACTTGAACCACTACTTGTGTCTGTCTGTAACAACATGCTGTGTTCCTTTAACAATATTTCATCAATTATTGGTCCCATACACATGTCGTCTCACCTTAGGCATTAGTGAGTTTGTTATAAAATGTCTTTGTTCACCTTGCAATGAATGGGTAGCCAGGATATATGACTATTAACCATCTAGTGCCTCACAGGCAACTTGGATTAACCGGGGTAATAATGTCCATTATGTTGAATGTAGTTACAGCAGCCGTGGAGTTCAGCGTGGTATAAGTGACCTTAGTGTTATATATTGCACATTTATTCATTGAGATCAGTGCCATGTGTAAATGTTTCCAAATGTTACATGAAGATAAGGATGTATCAAAATATAAAAGTACCAGGAAACATCTGGACCTTCATATGTTTCATTACAATTTCTCTAACATGCCTATTTGTTACAGGCGATCAACTTTGCCTTTTATTCTATTTTGTTGTTGCTAGCACACCTTACTTCCATCTACAAATAGTTTACTGGAAACAATAAATCCTGACAATAAGCAGAATGTGTTCAATATATCTACAAGGATTCAGCATGGAGGCACAAACTAACGGAGGCTATAGTGTCAGACTATATGTTGAAAGATGCAACACTTTATAGTAAATTTTACTTTGTGAAATTTGTATATTTGCCTAGGACATCATAATGGTTCAACTGATGTAAAAAGAAAATCCTATTTAATTTCTATTTCCTATTATGGAGTTGTGGGGGTTTCAGTGGAAATCGGGAGGGTCACCAAAACTGTGATAGT